ACACACACACACACACACACACACTTTTCAAATATGGCCTTGGTGTCTTGTGCCAAAAAGTCAGATGCGGCTTTTGAGTATGGTCCTCTAATAGCAGCTCCCTGAATCCTGTGGGAGATTTGCTGTCCCTGAAATTCTCCTGTGATTTGCAGCTCTAAACCAAATCACCTTTAAAGGCTAACGTGCAGTGGGCTGGCACTCGCGATTGGTGTGAGAGTCCGCCACGAGCACTCCCGTAGGGTCCCGACTGCACCGCCGGACACGCTGCCCGACCTTGTGTGCATACAGGGTGGTGCCCTTCGGGCGGCTCTCAAGCAATTCCAACTTGTTGCAGGTTCCTTGCACTTTGTCCTCAAGTGCTAAGGGTCTAGCGAAACAGCTGGCGACTAAGTAAACAACAAAAAACGGTACTCCAGCAGGGAGAAGAGTATATTCTTGAAAAATATAATCCCTAAGGCTGAGCCTTCTGCACGTTGAGGGAGCCTGCCCACAGGGGAGCGGGTACACAGTGGTCTTGGTTAGCTTGCAGTAAGAAAGCCCCCCAGCAGGATCTCACTGACTATGGACAAAGCCAAAATGCATGGCTACCAGGACACACCCAAGAAAGTTTAGCTCCTGCCCTGCAGACTGACGTTCCCAGCCCTGAGGCTGGGGATAGTGAGGAAAAAATGAAAGCCCATTTGTAAATACTGCCATTGGGCATTGTAGTGTTATGATCCAAACTAACCCAAGGTAAAAACAGGTGCGTGCATGCCTGCGTGCATGTGTACCCACACTGGGGCATGTGTGAGTGAAAGAGCGAAAAAGTTGCTGACTCACGGCTTAGGAAACCCAAAGTCAAGTTTTTCTTACCCTGAAACACTGAGGCGGGTAAAAGTACACGTTTTAGAGCGTTTCTAAAAGACCAACAATGTTAAAGAGTATTTCGTGTACGCTGGATGTGCCTTTAAGCAATACAAATTCCAAGAATAGTTTAGTATTGTGCCTCCATTAGCGGGGAAGGAGAAAAAGGGACCTTTTTCCTTTCCCTTTTAAACATTTTAGAGGAAATTCTTCCTGTCCTGGGGCCTTACCAAGATAAGTGTTCAACGTTTATACGCCATATGTGTGGATTCTATTTTAGCCTTACTTATGTTGTCTCCTTTCCAATTAATGTAATTAAACATAGTTTGACTCAAAACAGGTTACAGGCCCGGCACATGATAGCAAATACTTTTTCTTTTTTAAAACATTTTTCTTTTAAGTGTAACTTCTAGGCTTCTAGTTAGACACACTTCCATTTGTACCATGGAAGGAGCAAACATCCTTTGGAGGCCTGAGGTACGAAAGGAAAATAAAAACCACACTCCTTACTGCCAGGGCCAGTTGAGAGTTTGGGTTTGAGAGGACCACAGAAAGACAGTAACCAGGGTAACCGGCGCAGGCAGCTCGGAGCTAAGCTGGAAAAGATGCTAGCTAGAGTCACCACCTACGCCACTTGGGGGTAGTTTTGTTCTAGCTAGGAAGGGACAAAAGGAGATGCTGATAAATCTCCCCGCTATGCCTCACCCTCAGATCTCCACTTAGACTTTCTAATAATTACAAATTCCGCTTTTTTTCCTACCCCCTTCTATTCTAATGAAATGCTCCCTTTTTAATGTAGGTAAGGCTTTTTCCTTCTCCTTGACCTGTAGTGGCCTGAGAGCATATAACATTTCCTAAGATTACAGACCAAGTAGAACTAATCCTGGCACTGCCATTAGTGGACCCCCACCTCCTGCCACCTCTGGCCATCAGCTCACTTCCCTTGATTCGGCTAAAGCAAGTGGTGGCACTGCCCAAGGGTAAGTTGTTCAGTGCATAGCCTTCATCTTCCCTGGGAACGGCCCACACAGGCACCAGCAGCAGATCTCTGCTGGTGACAATACATCCACGCCAAAAGAAAGTTTTAAAATACATCATTTTAAAACTCTTCCTGACATCTAGTAACTGCCGTTTGCTCTGTCATCCACCCATATATATTTTTTAATTAGTTTGATTCTTGCTAAGGAATGAAGTTGCATGTTTTGTACCTAGCCTAAAATTAGAACCCACCACGCCGTGAAGTGGGGTTTGGCATTGCTTTCTACCTAAACGAGGAGGAAGGCACCTGCCATGGCTGTAGCTTTAACCATATAATGATTCTCTTTTTTGTGGTTTTTCCCCCTTCCCAAGTAGATTAATAGCATGTTTTCCATCCACTATATTTCAATCTCCAAGCTACTTAAAGTATTTCCTTCAAGTTAACTGCACAAAGACCTTTATTGGACAGTGCAGCCGGTGAGAACAGCAGCCTCTATTCGACTGCTGCATTTTCCTGGGTCTCCAAGGTTCCCGCCTTTGACCCGGGTACAGGCTGGCCACTTCTCTCCTTGTGGGAAGTATTTGAATTCTCCTTTTCTGACAGGTTCTGGCTTTTGCAGTTTCTCCTGTGCGCTTGTTTATTCTCTGACTCCTTCAGAAGTAGAAGATGGAAAGGTCCTAATAAATAATGGTGCATATATATATATAAAGGAATGGTGTGTGTATATATATATATGTATATATGTTGGGAAAAAAATCCAACAATGGATCCTCCCATTGAGGACCATGCACTGGTTTCAAGAAGTCACTGGGGAATTCTAAATCACATGCGAATGGAAACTAACCATGTGGCCTTTAATTCAATCTTAAAATTTTGCTTTTGCTTGTCATATAGAATAGGCTCCTCGGATTCTTTTTTTTTTAAGTTTTAATTTCTGTCCGTTCCATCATCGTTGCATGAGCATTCACCATCACTGAATGCTGGTGCTGGCGCCCCGAGTTTTTCCTTTCCTTTTTATTTGTTATTGTTTCTAACTTTTGTTTTGTTTTTTAACTTGCAGTGCAAGCTTCACATAAAGCCTGGCAAGCCAAGGATGGTCCCCGCATTCACCTGCTTTTGCAGTAATATTGTGTCTGCCATCTGTGCCCTTTTGTTTTACGATAGATCTAGACGGTTTCTTTTGGGTTTGGTTTGTGTTTTTTTTACACCCCCCCCCCCCCACCCAATGCCAATAACGATTAACCCCTCGTGCTGGATGTTGTTGGGCGGTGGCACGTGGTAGACGGAGAGAATGGCAGCAGAGGCTCTGGGAGGCTGGACTGGAACGCAAATGATTTGCCTCTTCTGCCTGTTCAGAGTGGCAGCGCTGCGCATGCCTGTCACTAGTGTGTCACTTTGGAGGAGGAGAGGAGGGGTACGTCTGCCATGGAAACGCCTCACCCTTCAGCAGCTGAACTCAAACACCTGAATAGCCCTGACAACAACTTGCATTTTCTTGATCGCTCCTCTCCGTCAATGCACAATCCCCAAATGCACATTGCCACTTGCCCCCAAACACAGGTAGATTTGACCATAGGCAGATCAGTGCAGAAGCAAATTTGACACGTGCCTGGAGGTTTTACACTTTATCGAGAACATTATTTGGCCTGGACTTAGAGATCTTTTCACAACAATCATCTCCTTTTACAGTTCTCCTGTAGCTGAACCCCTATCACAAATCCTGGTGGACAGGATTGCCCCCCACAAAACCATGTGATTGTGTTCCCTTGAACTAATCCAACCTTGATATTTTCACGGATCAGAGGCTCATAGACAATTGCCTAGTAGAAGCAGCTTCCCTTAGGGCTGATGGTGTTTCCAGAGGCCAGTTGTCACCCAAGAGGACTCTTTCATCCACACAGCTGAGTTGGTTCCCAGAGGCTTGAGGGGAGAGAGTCCTTGCGAGGAAGCCCAGAAGGTCAGGACAAATTCTAATCAGATGTTTCCCTACACACGGGGAGAACGTTTCCATAAATTCTTCACATGGGAAAGGTTTTCTATTAATGGCGTATCATCTGCAGCACACACTTGCAAAGACCTTGTCTTCTAAGGTAGAAATGAGAACAAATGCAACAAGTCCAGCAAGTGGGAAACTGAGCTTCACATCTAGTGTCCTTCATGCCCGTTCAATATGGGGAGGTGGGGGGGGGTGGGCGGGACGCGGGAGAGCTTCGCAAAGTTTATAGGAAAATTCCATGGTCTTTTCATGCATTTTTCCACGAACGTTTTCAAGCTCCCTTGGGGTTTGTAAAGGGAAAGCGAACTAGAAAAGCCAGGTTTATCAAACCTGGTCATTTCCCAGACCATTTCCTTCACAACTAGCCCCACTTGAGATGAAGCATCCCAGCCTCATCAAGGCGGTTAGGAGAAAGCCACACAAGCAAGGTTATGCCATGTTACCCAGCCTTCCGCCCATCACGGTGCCAGTCTTCATCATAGGCTCCACGCAGCCAGATG